TCAGAGGACAGAAGTCATGTTAACACATGGGGAGAAGAGGGAATTATAGACTTAGAACTAACGCCCCAAAGCCAAGGGCATTATAGGATAATCCAGGTACTATCACTTTTCAGTCCTGAGAGCAAAATTTTGAAGCAGCTATTGCTAAAGAAAACAGTCACTATTTATTTTATTGCACTTTTCCTCTTTAAAAATATTCAAACATAAACTGTGAGAGATGGAGCTTGAGTTGTGGTGGGAAAGGAAACAGAAAGAAAGAAAAAGTGAACTAGATCAGTTTGAGGAGAAGACCCATCCCAGCTTGTAGGGGATCCCCCACCTTCACCTGTCCGTGCTTGCTGCTTTGATGGGGGAACAGGGTGGGTCTCAATGAGGACCAAATCTGAGGATATAGATGATGGTTACAATAGCCATTGAGACAGTTCGTAGCATCCGGCTCCCTGCTAGTTGGCTCAGGTGGCTAATGATGGAACAGGTGAGGTTAAGGTCATGAGTTCAAACTCTGCAATGGACACTTTGCGGAGACTGGAGGAACCTCCATTGTGTAACCAAGGACCACCCTAGAAATTACATCCTACCATGGACCAACCTTCTCAGACCAGCCAACCATTACCCAGATGCAGGTTGTTATGACAATGAGCCCCAGGAGAACCGGAGTAGGGCTCAGCACCATCATCCCCACTCCTGGTTAAACAACTCAAAGCACTGTGCTCTTCCTGCCTGCCATGGCGCGTGGGTAGTGGTGGCAGCCTCATATGTGATTTGCAAACTGTCCTGTATTTCCTTTGTGGGATGCCAGCCTCCACCTCTCCTCTCTGCTACTGTGCGCAGTGCTGAACCTCCAGCTTGAGAAACTTCAGAGGGTGCTGCCTTCTCTCAACATGGGTTGGCACTGATACTCTATGGCAAGCCGTGAGGAAGTAAGTCAGCCAAAGACCTCACTACAATGGAGTAACAGATCCAGGGAGATCAGATAGGACAAAAACTGTTGCTGGCGAGTTGATTCTGACTCATAGGGAGCCTATAGGGCAGAGTGGAACTGCCCCAAAGGGTTTCCAAGGAGCAGCTGGTGGATTCAAGCTGCGGACCTTTCGGTTAGCAGCCAAGCTCTTAACCACTGTGCCACCAGAGCTCCCAGATAGGACAAGCTAGTCCTAAAGTCCTTCCCACCAGGGGCAGCAGCCCAGACACTCAGGCTGGGGACTCAGGCCATCAAATATTTCACACCAGGCCACATAGATTCTGGAAGCTAAGAGGCTAACCTTCTGGTGATATGCCTACACCATTCTCGGAAGCCCAGCGGAGAGGGACAGAGAGAAAGAAAGGCAGTGTGTCAAAACCAAAGAAACTCCAGGAAGCGCAGGGCCTTCATTATGTCCTTAATTAGATTTGGGCTCCTACAAAATTTACTCTGAAACTTGACCAGCTCAGTTTCTATCTCTTCCTGACAACCTCCCCACCTTTCCTGGGTCTCTTTCTCTTCAGGCTCCTGAAAATGGCAACATTCTTAAAACTTTGAGCTCACAGAGGCACCTGAGGAAGCTAAAGGGAAAATTGGTATCTTGACCTGGAAACACCTAAAAGTCTTAGCATATTGCACCAAACACCCAGGGTTTGAACCCACATGTCCATTCCCTGCTGCTGTTGTTTCCTCTGTGGAGGTCGGGCGATGTGACTCCATTAGGAGGGAAGGATGAGACACTCGTGGGACAGTCACCTAAGCGGAGACTGGGAGGCCTGAGCCCAGAGCCTTTCCTTCCAGACCTGACTTAACCTCTTAACTTCCATTTGAGGTAAAGACCCTTTGCCCAGTGCACTCACTCTCAGCTAGTCCTGTTAGTGGGAAGAACCAGCTTCAGGGGTAATCCCAAATGGTAGACAATCTTACAAAATATTTAAACCTGGCCTTAGAATATATGATAAAAGTCAGGCCCTTTTAAAAATTGTTTGCTTGTTTAGCATTAGGTTTATGTCCTTAACCATGTTTTACTTAAACTGAGCAGGTCTGTGTTTCCTCAAGTCACAGCCACTGGATGGCAGGCTGGGCATTCAGGTGGAGACACAGCAAGGGGGAGACCATGTCTAGAACCGAACACCTGGAGACGGGAATCAAGGGTTGACCCCATTGGGCTTATGCCCAAGAGCAAGTGAAGTGCCCCAAGCAAGGCAAGGTGGCTCGTTTTAACAGACAAGTCTAAATACAACGGAAGCCTGGCTGGCCCAAGTGGTTGGCGGTCTAAACCCACCTAGTGGCTCCACAGAAGATAGGCCTGGTGAACTGCTTTTGTAAAAAAAACTCTATTGGGCAGTTATACTCTGTAACACACGGGGTCTCCATGAGTCGGGGGCTGACTCAATGGCAGCCAATGACAACTGTCTATGTACAGTCTTGGGTTTCTGACCTGGTCCTTGTCAAAGCCACCGAAGATAGAGGGGGCAATAAGCTCCGTGGATGTAGAGAATGTTGGGGGCATCTTCACTCTAGTTCTGGGCCTAGGATCCTGCAGTTTCTTGGGTCATCACTGCTTTTAAGAGAATGGGGTGAATCCGGAGAGCCCCAGGTGCTGGAAGTAGGGGAGCTGGGCTACTGTGTTGTTTATGTAGACTTGCTTGAAGGGAAGGGCATGGCAAGGAGGTCTATATTAGGCTGCCTGCTGTTCCAGTTCCTTGCACCCCTTGCACCTGGGTTTCCATGGGAGGAAGGTGAACAGGTAGGAACCCCATGAGTCTCCCTGTCTTAATCAGACATCTGTTTGACATGGTGGCCCATCTTTCTGCTTGAAACCACAGGGGTGACTTTTCAGGTCTGAAATCTGGGGATGAGAGGGAGAGAAGAGACTAGAGGAAGAGACTCCATGAAGGATATTGAGGGGTACTGACATGGGCTAGAGAAGGGTGATGAAATTTGATCTTCTGTTCGTGCCCATTAATTTACAGCTTTGGAGGCAAAGCAATGGCTGTGAGTCTATGTATGCATTTCACATGTATTTTGTGTAAATGTTCTTGGGAATGTGTGCTGTCAGTATTTTGTGTGCCTAGCATGGGGAGATGCATTGTGTGCATACAGAGTTTGTATTTCGTGTGCAGAAACAATGGTAAAGTATCCTTTGTGTGTTTTGTATGCATATCCATCGAGTCCATATAGTTTTTACGTATTTTGTATCTGTGTTGCAGGGTGTGCATTTGTACATGGTGTGTGCAGGTCTTTTGTGTATGCTCTGTATTAGTAAGTACATTCATGTGCATATTTTGCAATAAACATTACCATATATCTTCTGTCATGCCCTTTATGTTATTTTGCACGTGTTGCATGTTTTGTATTTGTATATATGTGGCAACAATAAATGTATTTTTTAGTGGGAGTCCGTGTGCATGTGCCTATGTGTGTGTGTGAACATCTTACAGTCCCAAGTGAAGGACACTATGATAACATATCTACTCCCTGACTTAGGCCTCAGCTATGGGTTGCTTTACCTTCTGTTTTCCAAAGGTCTGTGTCCTTCCTGTCCCATGTCTTGGGAATTCAGCACCACCTCCCATGAAGGAGAGGAAGAGAAGCACATTTGTGCTGGGCACAGAATGCCCTGCAGACACGTGGGGATGTGGGTGACCAGAACTAATGAGCACCCTGGGCCTAACACCCTGAGCTGATGCCCACCCCTCAAGACAACTGTAGGTGCTAAATAGCCAACAGTGAGGCCAACGTGGGAGCCACCACTGGACAGCCCAGCCACCACAACTCACTGAGTTTGGGGAATTTAAGCCACCTATGTTGAAAGGCAAACGAGGACAGTCTGGTGAGGCAAAAGCCTCCTTCCTTTCAACCCATTCTAGGGCCCAGCTGTTCTCTATCTTTAGGCTGCACAGTGCCCATTCGCTCTCTATCTGTTCCAAAGGTGGGGATGAATCCTTACCCACCCTTTGGTTGTTTTGAAGCAGCTCTGGTTCAATGGGGAGAGAGACTGAGTCTGGCAATCAAAATGATGCCTTTGGATCATCTAGAGACCTCCCCCACCCCTTGGTCCTGGAACCTAGATCTTTCCACACAGAGGAGGCTCCACTTAAAGTCCAGACCAGTGGAATGTGGTCCCAGGGAGTCCCACTCCTTCATGTCCTTGGTTTCAAAGCAGGAGATCCATTCTGGCTCTTTAGGAAAAGGTTCATGAAAGTGGCTGACGCAGAGTCGAATGACAATGAGAACCAAACAGGGTGGAGAAGATGAGAATGGAGATGACTGACATGGTGGAGTGTAGACAGGAGGCCCGGGTGTGTCTGGCCCAGGACAGCTGGAGCTGTGAGGGCCAGAGGGCCCTTGTGCACTCAGTAAGACAAGCTTCAGCCACGGGAAGCTGAAGCTGCAGCACATGGAGGGCAGAAAGACAATTCTAACGTCTAAGAATCCATGAAGACTGGAGTCTCTGAGGCAATGGCAGCAAACCCAGGCCCAGTGGGGTGACCAGCGAGACAAAATAATCCATTAGGCCTCTTAGACAACCAACCACCAAGCAGTGGATTTGCTCCTGAACCTGAACTCCAGAGAATGAATATATATATATGGTGTGTGTGCATATATATGTACAAATATATACACACACGTGTACATATATATGTATATGTGTATATATATATGTGTATATATATATACACTCTAGTGCACATAGTCAAACACATGCATAAATTGCCCTGTGTCAAAAATATTGCATAAGGTTATACAATGTTCAAATGCAATTATTTCTATAGCTAGCTAGGTAGAGGAACACGTCAAAGAGATACTCGGTATATATTTATATACACTGGATCCACAGATCCACCTGTCCTCAGGACCCGATGCCCTGGTCAGCTGTACAGTCATGCTCATGACTAGGTTAATTCCTAAGGTGCAATCATGTGAGGTGTTTAGATGCTGCTTTCCTGCTTTCTCTCTCCTAGCTTTGCAGAGGTCTGTGTTCCCATTTGGAAGAACAGGGATGGGGTGGGCCTGAGGGCCAGACATTTTGGTTCCCCATCCCAAATAGTCAGTCTATATTTTTTCCCTGATTGAGAGTTTTTACCCTCCAGTGGGGGGAAGAAAAAACCCTAGTTCAATGCCATTACAAGGCTATTAATACTCTAAATATGAATACTGTATAGGCTACTAAAATAATAGGTTATCTCCTGTGTTTTAAATATTGAGATTCATGCAACAAACACCCATGCAGCTTGATCGCATCACTGGTAAATTCCACTGCAGTGTCGTGTAGCTGGGGCCACAGCACTAGGAAAGCAGATGTCTGCAAACTCTAGTGTAACGAAGAAATCGACATGTTTTTGTGACCCTGAAGCCTGCAAAAATGGTGAAATCTCAAGCTAAGCAGTCCCTTGGTTTGTTAGCTTCTCCCTGACAAGGTCTAAGGGAGAAAACGTGAAACTTGACAACTCACATTTGGTCATATGAACTGTCCCTCCCCTGGGCTTCCCTCACATCAACACTGCAGAGGAAAAGCTGAATGCAGCATCTTCCGTCATGAAACACAAGGCTCCGGAGCATCTACTTGGCAAACGCAGTTCACAGATCCCAGCCTGTGACCCAGAAAGTAATTCCAATCCACACGACTGTGTGTTCTTTTCAATGCAAAAACTGGGACTGACCTTTGGAATTGCCAGAGCTTTACAGGAAAACCATGGTAGATTTTCTCTGTGAAAAGGGGCTGGGCTCCAAATAGGGTGCTGGGAGGGGTGTATCTCCTGGGTGCTGTGTGCACTTAATTAGGCAGGAAAGGTGGCACTGGTGTGGTGGGTTGTGTCTTTGACATGAGGTGGCCTGAATGTACCTTTCTGAATCCTGACTCCATAGGTGACTCAATCTTTGGAAACCCATCAGCCGGTGATGAAGATTTGCATGAAAGCCAAGGATAGATATTCTGTGTTCTAAATTCAAAATCAAAAGATCAAAAGTCACTTGCACGACTATTGCTTTCCATGCAGAACCAGATACACACTGTACAGCACACTGACTGCAGTGCAGGCTATTATGCAATATCTGCATTAGTTCCATTGGGCTGTGAGTATGCTAGGAGGTTTCAATCAGACATCAGTTAACATTTTGGTAATATTCACATAATTTGTGTTAGCCAAGGTGCAGTTGGCTGTCTTCAAGTTCTCCTCTCTAAAGTCCTCGTTACTGTTGTTTACCCCCTCCTGGATCTCCATATAATCAGACTTACTAATGGTAGAGGTACTTCTACTTTTCTTTAGGTCAGGGGAGGATGGGATCTTTGGACAGCTTGTCACTTGCAAGTATTGGGCCTGCTCCTCTCCCTCTGTCTCCCGGTGGTAGAAGTAGTTGAAGTTGGACACTATGACAGGGACCGGCAAGGCAATGGTTAATACACCTGCAATTGCACATAGGGAACCCACGACCTTTCCCCCAATGGTAGTTGGAACCATGTCTCCATAGCCTACAGTTGTCATGGAGACGACTGCCCACCAGAAGGCGTCTGGGATGCTGGGGAACTGGGACTCCCGCTCATCGGCCTCTGCGAAATAGACAGCACTAGAGAAAAGGATGACCCCGATGAAAAGGAAGAATATCAGGAGGCCCAACTCTCTCATGCTGGCTTTGAGGGTCTGACCTAGAATTTGGAGACCTTTCGAGTGTCTGGACAACTTGAAAATCCTAAAGACTCTTACCAAGCGGATGACACGGAGGATAGCCAGCGACATGGCCTGCTGGCCCTGCTGGGCATCCTCTGGCTTCTCAGCCAGCTCTGTCCCCAGGGTGATGAAGTAGGGGATGATGGCCACAATGTCAATGATGTTCATGATGTTGGTGAAGAAGCCAGCTTTGCTGGGACAGGCAAAGAACCTCACCAAGAACTCAAAGGAGAACCAGATGATGCAGAGGGTCTCTACAATGAAGAAAGGGTCGGTGAATGAAGTGGACTGCTGGTACCCAATGGTGCTGTTGGAATAGGTGTGGAAGGTCATGCCACTGCCATGCATGTCTTCGTTTTCATCTCGGAATATGGGCAACGTTTCAAGACAAAAGCTGACGATGGAGATCAAGATCACCATGACAGATACAATAGCTATAATCCTGGCAGGCCCCGAGCTCTCGGGATATTCAAAGAGAAGCCACACCTGTCTCTGAAACTCATTTTCAGGCAAAGGACGCTCTTCCTCCTTGATGTAGCCTTCATCTTCCCGAAACATCTCCATCGCTTCTTCTCCCAGCTCATAAAACCGAATTTCTTCAGAGAATATGTCTAAGGGCACATTCACAGGTCGCCTCAGCCGGCCCCCGGACTGGTAGTAGTATAAAATGGCATCAAAGCTGGGGCGGTTCCGATCAAAAAAGTACTCATTTCGGAGTGGGTCAAAGTACCTCATCCGCTTCTTTGGGTCCCCTAAGAGGGTCTCTGGAAACTGGGCTAAGGTCTTGAGCTGCGTCTCAAACCGCAGTCCTGAGATGTTGATCACCACTCTCTCACAGCACTCGTGGTCTGCCTCTGGGTCATAAGTGTCCTGCGGGTGCCCAGGGAGGGCAGCAGCCTCGTCCGCCGGGTCTCCAGTGGCCACTGTCATAATTGGGGCTGAGAGAAAGTGCCTCACGCTACACCTTCCAGCTGACTGGTGGCAGGGAACTCAGGGTGCTGCTAACGGCCCCAGGAAACGCAGTAGCATTGGTCTGGGCTCCTGGTGGAGAGCCCTGAGGGCTCTCTGAGAGCTGGACAGACAGCCTCGCTTGGCTGAAAGACAGAGGCAGTGAAGGACATGAGACCACTCAGCATTGGCAGCCCAACCTGGTTTGCTGCTTTGTGTCTACCGTCTCTCAGCCAAGAGTTTAGACACATTACCACCACCATCTTTCACCTTGTAAATTGGCTGGAGATCAGAGGCGAGCAGGTGGCAATCTCTCAAGGAAGCTCTGGAATGCCCTGTTCTGGGGAAGGTGGCTGGTCCGGGCTCGTTCTGCACCACACAGGCGTCATGAAGCATAACCCCATACTAGAAGGCTGGAAGGATGGCCTCTCCCAGGCACTGAACTAATGTCTTATGAATAACTGGACCCTGGAAGGTATTCATCGTAGGGGATCTTGGGTCTGGGTCTCTCTCATTGCCCCCACCCCCATGACTCTACACATGGCTGTTATTAAACAGCAGATTGATTTACCTGGCAGGGCAGGACTCTGAAGATCTCTTTCTTGCAGAGCAGAGCAGATGCTGCAGGAATCCTAGATACACATGCTGGCAGCTCAACTCCTCATCACGTCTTCACCCGAGCTAGAAATAATGGTGAGTCATTCTGGGCAGGAGGGCAGGCTCCAGTCCTGGAGGTAAGCTCCAGGGCCGGGCTGGGCTGGAGGAGCAGTAGGGTGCCTGGTCAGAGGCATGCAGAACTTCCACAGCCAAGCTTGGGTCTGGAGCCTCTGGAAGAAAGGAGGCAAGATGCAAAGCTCAGCAAAAGCTGAAGTCCTCCTGGCTGTCCTCAGGAGGTTTGATGTTGCCTGGAACAAACAGCAGCAAGGTAGAACCAGGGCTTTTGGGCAGCTGGTGCCAAGATTTAGGAGGGCTCTGGCAACTTCTCTCACTGGAGGTACAGGCTCCCATATCCACATTCCATTCTGGTGCCACAACTGAGAACTACCCCTCAGCCTCCCAGACTCCTCAGGGCAGGCTTCCCATCAGCCTTAAGCTACTTCTCCCAGGAAAAAAGCCTGCAGGCAGGGCTGGGCCTCTCTTCTCCAGGGGCTTTCCTGGGGCTGAGCCAGATCCCTCACCCTCAGCTGCCATCAGGAGGGACTCTGGACAGTGAACAAACCCCAACCCCCCCACGTCCCCCAACGCCAGGACAGTGTCTCTCTTCCAAGGGGAGGGCTGACTGCAGCCACACTACAAGCTCTGACCTCTGCTGGGTCCTGAGAGAAGAAGCAATTCCCCCTCGCCCCCACCCCCGCCACCTTCTTCGGAGCCCAACTAGGGACACCCCCACACAGCAAGGTCGCCTCTGTATACAAGCTGGCTGGCTGGGCCCCTGGACTTACGCTCCCGTGGGGATTCCTGGGCCACAGGCCTCCCTCTGATCCAGGTGGCATTTGAGCTGGGCAGGCGCTCGACCACCGATTTCTCCTCAAGAGAAAATCCCTCACATCTCCCCGGCAGGGAGCGCAGAACAAACACTGAGCCCGCCTGGCTCCAAGGCGGGTTGGCAGCATCGAGAGGGGGAGCCTGGAAAAAGCCGGCTTCCAGGCTGGCCCCCTGCCGGCCCAATCCCGCTGGTCCCAGGGCGGGGAGGGGTCTGGGTCCTCTCCCCAGCGCCTGCAGCTCGGGCCGGGATTCCGCCCCGCGCGCTCTCCGCTCGGCGCCGCGCCGCGCCGCGCCGCCAGACGGGACCCTGCACTGGCCGCGGTGGCGAGCGCCCCCTTAACCCCCTCTTGCCCGGTCGGCTCCCGCTGCGGGCCCGAGCGCAGCCCAACTCTTTTGCCCCCGGATCGAGCCGAGGGACCGCCAAGACTCCATCTCCACCCGGAAACCCCGGAGCCTGAACTCTGCGGTGGGGAGTGGGTTACTCTGCGCGGCTGCCCCAGATCTCAGCTTCCTCTCTCCTCCTAAGCAAGGGAGCTCCGCGGCAGCCCATAGCCCCCGGGAGGGGAAAAGCTTTTCCCTGCCGCAAAGCCCTTTTGACTCAGTGCCCGAGAGGCGAATGCAACCCGGCTGTCCCAAGTGATTCAGGTCCTACCAACCGCCGCTATTTACCAGACACGGTTATGCTGGCAGCTGCACTTCCCATCACCCGCCAGCTCCTCGATGAGCCCCCCTCCCCGTGCCACGCACACCCCAGAGGGTCCCCGAGCCCATTTCGTGCACTCGTCTTCGCAGAGCGCAAGACCCCCTCGCCAGCCCCGGCGTCAAGATCCGCCGGCCAGAAAGCCGGTCAGCGCCGGGCTCAGCCTGAGCCCTTCGCCCTGCAGGCTGCGCCGCCGGCTGCTGGGTAGCCCCTCTCGACGGGCGCCGCAGCGGGCAGGGGGAGGCAGCACACGCATTGGAACCCCCCGATCTCGATTTACCCTTGCGGATGGGCACCGGGAGCCTCCATATTCGTGGTTTAGAGCAAGCGCCGGCGGAACGGCGGTTGCGGGCGGCCAGCCTGGAGCAGGTTCTGCAGTCCCGCCGGCGGCGCGTACTCAGCGCCCGGCCGCCGCCCGCAGCCGCACCGCGCCGCACCGCGCCACGCAGCGCCGCACCTGGCCCGCCTGCGATTCGAATTAAAGGGGCCGGCGGGTGCCAAAGCCAGCGAGGCGTGCGGCCCGCCGCCAAGCCGGCCACCTAGTTGGGACCCTGGGCCTCGGCCCCGGCCCACGAGGAAAGCACCCCATTATTTGTCAGAATCCAAGTTACTAACCAGAACCTCGGGGGTAGGGGGGCTTCAGTTGGGTGCTGCCGAGTCGGGGGACTGGGGCTTGGAGAGATGGAGGGGGCAGAAGTTGAGGAGCGCTTCCGAAGCTCCTGTCAACGTAATGAAGTAGGCAAGGAGGAAACAATCAATAGCAGCTATCCCAGGCCCGAGGAGGGACCCAGCCCCGCGGGAGATGTGCTGCTATTATTACGAGGCTGCCAGACAGACTATGAAGACCCTCCTGGCCCTTTCCTGCCGGCGCGCCCCCTCCTCCAGCTCTGCCCCCACCCCCTTACCCAGGGGAAGGTTTGACTTAGCAGGGGAATGCAGCAGGTGCGGGGCCACAGTGTGGCAGAAACTCGTGGCTGCGTTCTCCCCCACCGGCAGGAGCCGCAGGAACAAGCAGAATTGCAGAGCCGGCCCCCTTGGCTCCCTGCCCCCAGGGCCCGGCCAGGGATGGCTGGGCTGCAGCTGCCCTAGGTCAGGGCCAGCTACTCACAAAATGGGCCTCCTCACAGGCCTTGAGTGGGGCAAACGGTTAAGCATTCAACTACTATCGGAAAGGTTGGCAGTTTGAACCCATTCAGAGGCACCTCCGAAGAAAGGCCTGGCGGTCTTCTTCCAAAAGGTCACAGCCTTGAAGACCCTATGGAGCGGTTCTACTCTGCACATGGGGTCGCTAGCTATGGGTTGGAATCAACTCCATAACAGCTAACGACAACAACACAGACCTTGCAGACCAGCTGGTCCACAAGGCTCTGAAATCGGGAGTGCAGCTCATGGCACCCTGGGGTGGGCAGAGGAGGACACCCTTTGCTCTTGGAAGAATGTGTGTGGAAGCTCAGCCTGCTCTCTGCTCAGATGGGGGATCTGAGAGGGTCCAAGGGTGCTCTTGGGAGCCTCATGACAGCCCCAAGCCTCTGCCAGCTCTGTTCTCCAGGTCTCTGTCAGAAACACCCAGACAGGTGTTCCACACAGTGGTTCCTTCAGCTCAGACTCTGCGGTAGACATGGTGCTCTGGATTCAGGGGCTTCTGGTATGGGAAGGCTCTCGCTGGGCCCTCGTGCTCAGAGAGCCTTCATCTCTATGCCTGTACCTAGTGATGGAAGCACGGAGACTCCTGAGGTCCCGGCTCTCTGGGATTCTGGCATTTCATAGCGGTGGTCTATGAAGTGTAGTTTGAGACTGGGGGTCTACCCAGAGCTCCAGGGGGTGGTCTGAGAAGGCAGTGGACTCAGTAGGCTCTGGGGATGACTGTAAGGCAAGGCTGGTTTGGTTTAGGGCCATTTGAAGCTGGAGCCAGACCAGACTGAAATCTCTGCCTGTTACTTGGCAAGTTAATTCACTTCTCAGTGTCCTTATCTGCAAAGTGAAGCTACCTCACAGGGTTGTTGTGAAGATTAAATAAATTGTCACATGTCATACATTTAGCACCAACAGACCCTCAGTAAATGGTGGCATCTCCACTCTGTTTCCTTATGAAGCTCCGCTCATAACTTGAGGCCTCCAGCTTATCTTTCCACTATTTCTCTATGTGCGAACTACCAGTTCTTGTTATTCCGTTCTGTTTGCTGCCTAGCTTGATCCACCCCTCACTTTCCCTGAGGTCTGAGCCATTCCCACGCCCTTCACCTGCTCCACACTCCTTCCTTCCGGAAGCCTCCCCTGACCAACACCACTGGGATTTGTAACTTCTACTTGCCACACTGGGTCCTCAGGTCAATTTAAGTTCCTACACTCTTATCCATTTGATTGTGTCTGTATATTTTCTTTGCCCTCTTAAAAAAAAAAAAAGAGATGTGGACAGAGAAAAACTCTCAAGGGAGAATTAATAATCATGCTAATTGGTGACATGTGCTTTCCATGTGGCAGACACTGTGCTAAGCAACTCTAACCCAGCGCAACCACAACTCTCTGTGGTAGTTCTTACATTAGAATCATTTCATCAAAGAGGAAACTGAGGCAGAGAGAGGTGAAGTAACATACCCAAGGCTGTGGTGACTCCAGGACCTGCATCCTAGCCCCCATACCACACTGCTCGGGTCAGATAAGCAGCCCTTGAATTTCATTTCCCTCTTTAGGTTCTTCCTTTGACCGCTGTTCCTGTCTCCTGACTTGGCCTCTGTCTTAGGCTGGGTTCTCTAGAGAAGCAAAAACAGTAAAGTGTTTAAATATATATATAGAGAGAGATTATATCAAGGAAACAGCTCACGCGATTGTAGAGGCTAGAATGTCCCAAGTCCATGGATCAGGGTAGAGGCCTTTCCCAAGTCACACAGCTGCAGAAGCTGGCAAGCCCAAGATCAGAAGGTCGGAGAGCAGGGCTCCCACTCACAGGCTGTGCAGATCGACAAATCCCGGGTTCGGCAGATAAGCTGACAGCTCAAGTCCCAAGGACGGGAGATGAGATGACAGGAAGCAACTGCAGGATCCAGAGAGAGCAAAAGCCAGAACGTCTGCTTATATACAGATTCGGGCCACACTCCCAAGGAGAATCCCTTTCATCTGATTGGCTACTCACAGTATATTCAATCATGGGAGTGATTACATTAAAACATGGAGAATCATGGCCCAGCCAAGTTGACACACAATCTTAACCACCACAGTCCACCCCTTGTCAACTTGGCACATGTACACATCTCCTTAAACCACATGTAATCTCTGAATAAAGACAATGAGAAAGTCATACTTGCGCCTAACATGATACAACTAACACGCGTACGATCGAAAACGCACTATCCCCATTTACAGCTTATATTTTATAAGTGAAGGAAACAAAAATATCTGATGCACACATACAAAGTACAAATACTCATAACGATTACAGTCCCCATTTCTGCAGCTGGTCACGTGGCCGTAACTGGTATTTAGAACTACCTTCTTCCACCACCCATTCTGTATTTCCTTTGCCCTCTGCAAACACCTCGGCTGGTCGTGGTTCTTTGCCTGGTGGGGTGACCCAAACCTTCATTCCTGAAGGGTCTGTGTCATTAGTAGTCACGTCAGAATTAGGTTGCTGTAGTTTTGCATTGACTTTAATCACAAGGCATGGTAGTACTAAGAGACGCCCCAAGGAATCTCCTGCATTCCAGACATACTCTTCTTTACCTCCATTATGTAATATCACTCTGATTTCCTCTTGGTAATCAGGATCAATCACACCAGTCAGTATGGTAACTCCCTTCTTTGCCTGTTGAGCCAGAGGCATAAGGAGCCCAAAGTGGCCAGGTGGCATTCTTAACTTCCAGTTCGATGGAATCAGTGATGTGTCTCCAGGTGGGGGCATTCCTCCCTTTGGAACCAAGACCTCTAGGCCTGCAGAGCATAAGGTCGAGGGGACAGGAAGCAAAAATCTTGCAAGTGGGTCACTAGGGGTAATAGTGAGTGGTGCCACTCCCATTTCCACCCCTGGATTCCTGGACCCGTAAATCCTGGTGTCATGGATTGAATTATGTCCCCCAAAAAATGGGTTTATCAATTTGACTGGGTCATGATTCCTGGTATTCTGTGGTTTTCCTATAAGTTGTAAATCCTGCCTCTATGATGTTAATGAGGGAGGATGGGTGGCAGTTGTGTTAGTAAGTCAGGACCTGATCTACAAGACTGGATTGTGTCCTGAGGCAATCTCTTGAGATGTAAAAGACAGAAGTGAGAAGTGAGACAGGGGGACCTCATACCATCAAGAAAGCAATGCCAGGAGCAGAGTGTGTCCTTTGGAGTGGGGTCCCTTCGCGGAGAAGCTCCTAGTCCGGGGGAACACTGGAGAGAAGCAGGCCGACAGAGAGAAAAAGCCTTCCTCTGGAGCTGACGCCCTGAATTTGGACTTTTAGCCTACTTTGACTGTGAGGAAATAAACTTCTCTTAATTAAAAACCATCCACTTGTGGTATTTCTGTTATAGCAGCACTAGATGACTCAGACACCTGGCTATGGGAGAAACAGCACCATATATTGGATGCTGGTTTAAAGCATATACAGCCTCCTGCAGAACATTGCCCCAACCCTGTAATGTATTGCCACCTAGCTGGCACTGCAGTCGTGTCTTTAGAAGGCCATTCCATCGTTCTATCAAGCCAGCTGCTTCAGGATGATGGGGAACATGGTAAGACCAGTGAATTCCGGGAGCATGGGCCCACTTCCGCACTTCATTTACTGTGAAGTGAGTCCCTTGATCTGAGGCAATGCTGTGTGGGATACCATGACGGTGGATAAGGCATTCTGTAAGTCCATGGATGGTAGTTTTGGTAGACGCATTGCTTGCAGGGAAGGCAAATCCATATCCAGAGTAAGTGTCTATTCCAGTAAGGACAAAACGCTGCCCTTTCCATGATGGAAGTGGTCCAATGTAATCAACCTGCCACCAGGTTGCTGGCTGATCACCTCGAGGGATGGTGCCATATCGGGGAATCAGTGTTGGTCTCTGCTGCTGGCAGATTAGGCACTCAGCAGAGGCTGTAGCCATGTCAGCCTTGGTGAGTGGAAGTCCATTCTGCTGGGCCCATGCATAACCTCCATCCCTGCTACCACGGCCACTTTGTTCATCAGCCCATTGAGCAACAGCAGGAGTAGTTGGGGAAAGAGGATGAGTGGTTTCCACAGAACGCGTCATTCTATCCACTTGATTGTTAAAATCATCCTCTGCTGAGGTCACCCTTTGGTGAGCATTCACAAGAGACACAAATATCTTTATGTCTTTAGCCCATTCGGAGAGGTCTATCCACATACCTCTTCCCCATAAATCCTTGTCTCCAATTTTCCAATCATGTTCCTTCCAAGTCTCTGATGGTGGCAGTAATCTCTGCAATCCCTCCAGGAATGAGGTATTGCTTTTTGTTTACTATTTTCCTAGGTAGAGGCAGTTCTAATGGCTTCCACTTGGCTTTTCCTACCATAATAGCCCTTACTCTATTTGTCAGGGATCCAATGTGGGGGTTCCGCTAGTTGCTGAGTATATCTATTCCAATTATGCATTCTGGAACTGGGGAAATCACTACAGGATGGGTTCAGGGACCCAATGGACCTACTGTGAGACAGACATGACTCCATTAATAACCTGACCTCCATATGCCCCCACTCTGACTAGTGCGCCACAGTGACGTTTTGGGTCTCCTGGAATTAGTGTCAGCTC